TAAAGTAAGGGATCCGAGTTACGATGGTGTGATCCGGCCCCCTATGTCCCTGTCTGTTGTATGCCTGCCTCGTCTGGGAAACATGGACCAAGCAGATGGATCCTTCACTGCTGTTCTTTTTTTTCTTGTTTTTAATAGAAGTTTTTATTGATTTCAGAGGAAGGGAGAGAAAGAGGGAGAGAGGGAGGGAGGGGAAGAGAGAGAGAGAGAGAGAGAGAGAAGCATCCGTGATGAGAGAGGACTGAAGGGTCCCGGGTTTGATTCCGGTCAAGGGCAGGTACCTGGCCCTGGTCGGGGTACATGCGGCATCCAATCAATGTGTCTCTCTCACAGCGTGTTTCTCTCTCTGTCTTTCCCTCTACTTTTTACTCTCTCCAAAAAGGAGGAGGAGGAAGAGGAGGAGATGGAGGAGGAGGAGATGGAGGAGGAGGAGGAGGAGGAGGGGGGAGGAGGAGAAGAGGGAAGAGAAGGAAAAGGAGGAGGAGGAGGAGATGGAGGAAGAGGAGGAGGAGATGGAGGAGGGGGAAGAGAAAGGAGGAGGAGGAGGGGGGGGAGGAGAAGGAGAAGAGGGAAGAGAAGGAAAAGAAGGAGGAGGAGGAGATGGAGGAAGAGGAGGAGGAGATGGAGGAGGGGGAAGAGAAAGGAGGAGGAGGAGGAGGAGGGGGGAGAAGGAGAAGAGGGAAGAGAAGGAAAAGGAGGAGGAGGAGGAGAAGGAGGAGGAGGAGATGGAGGAAGAGGAGGAGGAGATGGAGGAGGGGGAAGAGAAAGAGATGGAGAAGAAGGAGGAGGAAGAGATGGAGGAGAGGGAAGAGAAGGAGAAGGTGGAGGAGGAGGAGGAGGAGGAGGAGATGGAGGAGGGGGAAGAGAAGGAGGAGGAGGAGGAGATGGAGGAGGAGGAGATGGAGGAGGAGGAGGAGGAGATGGAGGAGATGGAAGAGAAGAAGGAGGAGTAGATGGAGGAGGAGGAGAAGGATGAGGAGGAGATGGAGGAGAAGAAGGAGGAGGAGTAGATGGAGGAGGAGGAGATGGAGGAGATGAAGGAGGAGGAGGAGAAGGAGGAGGGGGAGATGGAGGAGGAGTAGATGGAGGATGGGGAACGGGAGCGGGAGGGGAGGGTGTGGGGAGCTGGCAGACGCACCCTCACTGCCCAAACGCCAGGCGCCTGGAGCCAGGCCCATTTGTCTTGTGTTGTTGTGAGATCCCGCGTTGCCCGCCTGGCAGCCACGGTGATGGATGGGTTTCCCTCGCCGCCCGCCCCTCCTGCCCGGAGCGCCCGCCTCACCGGGAGAGGAAATTAAACCGCCTCCCAGCTGCTCAGCCGCTGCCGCAGAGGAGGGCACCGGCCGGCCGGGCGCTGAGGCTCTGGCCCCTCTGCCCGCTCCTGGCCAACCCCAGCGCCAGGCTGAGCCCAGACACAGCCCCAGCAGCTCCCCTCCGCCAGGGGCAGGCTGGCTGCCGCCCCGTCCTGCTCATTTTTCCCCCTTTATTTTCTTTGTGTGTGTGTGTGTGTGTTTTAAATATATTTTATTGATTTTTTTTACAGAGAGGAAGAGAGAGGGATAGTGAGTTAGAAACATCGATGAGAGAGAAACATCCATCAGCCACCTCCTGCACGCCCCCCACTGGGGATGTGCCCGCAACCAAGGTCCATGCCCTTGACCGGAATCGAACCCGGGACCCTTCAGTCCGCAGGCCTATGCTCTATCCACTGAGCCACACCGGTTTCAGCTGTGTGTGTGTGTGTGTGTGTGTGGTTTTTTTTTAATGCACTTTTATGGATGATCAGTTAGGGAAGATCAGACCAGCAGGGGGCAGTTGGGGACGATCAGGCAGGCAGAGGTGATTAGGGGCAATCAGGCCAGCAGGGGAGCAGCTGGAGCAGCGCCCGGTACACCACACGGTTGCGGGTTCGATTCTCTGGTCAGGGCACATACCCAGATTGCAGGCCCGAGCTCCAGGCGGGCTGCGTATGGGATGCAATCACTGTCTCTCTCTTTTTCACTCCCCCTGCCCATCGCTCTCTAAAATCAATAAGAACACGTCCTCAGGCCGGGACCTGTTTGGCTCAATGGATAGAGCGTCGGAATGAGGACTGATGGGTCCCTGGTTCGATTCCGGTCAAGGGCATGTACCTTGGTTGCGGGCATGTCCCCGGTGGGGGGTGTGCAGGAGGCAGCTGATCGATGACTCTCTCTCATCGATGTTTCTAACTCTCTATCTCTCTCCCTTCCTCTCTGTATAAAATCTAAAAATATATTTAAAAAAAAAAACAAAAAAAAAAAACACGTCCTCAGGCCCTGGCAGGTGTGGCTCAGTGGATAGAGCGCCTTCCGGACCCCCGCCTTCCGGACCCCCTCGCCCTCCGAGGGCCCCAAGCACACGTCACACCCTGTGTTCACCAGGCATGGCCACTGCCTACGTGTACCCTCCTCTCCAGCCGTCCCGACAACTGGGTGACATCTGGGCCTTCACACACAAATCTCCGCAGCACAATGTACACGGAGCGGCCAGAGGAGGATGGTCTCTGAACGCATCATCATCTGGCTCCTCCGTGTGCGTGTGTGTGTGTGTGTGTGTGCGTGTGTGTGTGCGCGCGTGCATGTGTGCGTGCATGTGTGCGTGCGTGTGTGTGTGTGTGTGTGTGCGTGCGTGTGTTAGAGGCCCAGTGCATGAATCCGTGCATGGGTGGGGTCCGGCCAGCCTGGCCAGGGGGAGGGGACATGGGTGGTCGGTCGGTTGAGGGGACCATGTGCACATGAGCCTTTTATTCTATAGGACAGACACGGAGTGGCCAAGTGATTGTGCGTTCAGAGATCATCATCATCTGGCCACTCCGTGTCTATATATTAAAAAAAAAGAAGAAGAAAAAGGAGGAGGAGGGGATTCTGGGAAATTGTTTTACGCTTCTGCAAGGCAGGGCTCTGAGGCGATTCAGACCAGAAGAGAGGACGCAGGGATCTGAATTTAACCGTCGCCCGAGGCCGTCTGCTTTCAAACAGACACCTCAAATCTTGTCGGAATGTTCTTTTTTTCCCTTTAATGCAGGAAAATAAGGTTTGAGGGGGCTGGATGCCAGGCCCCTGAGGCTCGAACCTCCGAGCTGCCTTCCCGGCGTCTGTCGGGAGCTGGGTGGTCGGGGGGCCGCCGGCTCCTGCCCAGCACTGGCTTCGATGGTCAGAGGCTGAGAGGGGTGCCAGGGTGCCCAAGCCCACCCGCCTGCCCACCGGGGGGGAGGGGTTGGCGGAGGGGGGACAGAGAAGTGATGAAGCACAGTGGGTATGGAGACGGACACAGAGACGGACGGACACGCAGCTGCGGAGCGGTGACGGCTGGCACGCGGGCCGGTGTCCAGACCTGGACCAGGGCCTGGGTGTGTGTGGGGGGCGGGGAGGGGGGCTGAGATGGACCAGCGTCTCCATCACAGCACCAACAAAAGCTGGCCAAGCCCCTGGACACGGTACCCAGAACCCCAAGGTCTCGCCATGGCGTCTACCCTTCAAGGCACAAGGACAAGGCCCCCGGAAGCCCTCACCTCCGAGCAAGAAGGGAGCGGCCGAAGCCGGTGTGGCTCGGTGGATAGAGAGACGACCTGCGGACTGAAGGGTCCCGGGTTCGATTCCGGTCAAGGGCATGTACATTGGTTGCGGGTGCATCCCCGTTGGGGGGGGGGCAGGAGGCAGCTGATCAAAGATTCTAAATCTATCTCTCTCGCTTCCTCTCTGTAAAAAATCAATAAAATATATTAAAAATAAAAAAGAATAGATGGATGCCGAAACCGGTTTGGCTCAGTGGATAGAGCGTCAGCCTGTGGACTGAAGGGTCCTGGGTTCGATTCTGGTCAAGGGCATGGACCTCGGTTGCGGGCACATCCCCGGTGCGGGGCGTGCAGGAGGCAGCTGATCGATGATTCTCTCTCATCGACGTTTCTAGCTCTCTCTCTCCCTTTCTCTAAGAAATTAATAAAATATATTTTTTTTAAATAAAAGGGAGTGAGGGGGCCAACAGGAGACAGGAAACGAGGAGCAGAGACTCGCAGCCAAGCAGGAACGGGGGACCCCGGGGGAGGGGAAGGGAAGGGCCCCGATTTCCACACGTTGGCCGCCCACTGTCCGAGGTCTCTCGGCCCCCCACCCCCCACCCTGGGGCGGCCTGCATTGCCTGGCCCGTCCCCCGGCCCGTGGAGCAAGAGGGGGGCGCTGTGTGCATGCCCCATCGGGCCATCGGCTCCCTCCCGCTGTGGGCATGGAGCAGGGGCCGGAGGCTCTCGGGGGAGATCTGCTGTGAACTCCGCAGTGGCCGCTGGAGGGCAGGCTGTCGCAGCCCTTGATGAATGTCAGCCGAGAAGGGACATGCCCTGTGGACACCCCCTCGGCCTCCTTGCAGACCTCGGGAGCCGTAGGGACCCTCCCCCTTCTCACCCTCCCTCCTCCCCCCTCCAGGACAGGTGTTCCCCATCCCCACCGGGAAACACCATCGAAACTGAAAGAATCGAATCCATGTTCTGCCTTTTTGTTTTGTTTGTTTCCTTTATAATTCCATTTTTATCGCCGGCCGTTCATTCATTTCATTCATTCCAATTGTTCGGCAGGAAATCTAAGAGCAAACACGACATCCGGGAGCCCAGCTCCGGCCTGCAGACCCAAGGGGTCCCGGGTTCGATTCCGGTCAAGGCCACGTACCCGGGTGGCAGGCTCCTCCCCGGCCCGGCCTGGGCCCTGGTCCACAGGCGCCCCGTCTGTGTGTCTCTCTCCCATCGACGTTCCTCTCTCAGTCTCTCCCTCTCCCTCCCCGTCTCCCTAAACGTCAGCAGGGAAATACCCTCGGGGGAGGGTTAACAAATAAATAAAGGGTGTCCGCCGTCACGCCGTCACGCCACTGGGGGCTCCCGGGCAGGGGCCGTCCGGGCGGGCTGCTAGATTCCAGAGGACCCCGGGGGGGGGGGGGGTCTGTCTGGGCCCCGGCCGCCCGGTGCAGCCCGTGGAGGACGTGGCGGGGGCCGCTCAGGACTTCATGGTGCACAGCGGCACCACGATGACCAGGATGACGGTGCAGGCGGCCGCCGCCACCAGCGCCACCAGCTTGCAGACCCGGGCCCGGCGGAACTCGGCCTCCTTGCGCTTCAGGAGCGAGTCGTAGCCCGGCGTGTAGATGTCCTCCATCCAGTACTCCAGGTGGTTGGGGTTCAGCGACTCCTGCGCCTGGGAGGGGGGGGCGGGGGGGGCGGCGTCAGAGGCGCAGTGGGTCCCGGGACCCGGGCCACGGCCGGGCTCCCACGCACCTGCCCCTCCCTGACGGCAATGTCCTCACCTTGTTTTTGTTTGTGTTTTTTTTTAATATATTTTATGGATTTTTAAAATATATATATTTTATTGATTTTTTAAAATATATATATTTTATTGATTTTTTAAAATATATATATTTTATTGATTTTTTAAAAAATATATATTTTATTGATTTCTTAGAGAGGAAGAGAGAGGGATAGAGAGTTAGAAACATCAATGAAAGAATCATCGATCGACTGCCTGTTGCACACCCCCCACAGGGGATGTGCCCGCAACCAAGATACATGCCCTTGACCGGAATCGAACCCGGGACCCTTCAGTCCGCAGGCTGATGCTCTATCCACTGAGCCACACCGGTCAGCGCTATTAAATTTTTTTTTTTTAAAGAAAAGCTCAGTCATGCACTGTCACTAGTGGAATACCGATGACTCTAATGCTAGCTCGCCGTTCTCCACCCGTCTGCCCAGGTCCCCGTGTGCTCTGTGCGCCTGGCTCCGCGCCCGGGAGACTGGCCCCCAGGTGGGGTCAGCCGGCGGGGTGGGATGGGTGCTCCTGGCCCGCCCTGGTGCCTGCAGCTCGGGTCAGGCCCAGCGGAGGCCCAGTTCCTGGCAGAGATTCCAAAACAGCTCCCAGCCCAGCCAGCCGGCGTGGCTCCGTGGCTGAGCATCGACCTAGGAACTAGGAGGTCAGGGTTCGATTCCCGGTCAGGGCACATGCCCGGGTTGCAGGCTCCATCCCCAGTGGGGGGCGTGTAGGAGGCAGCCGATCAGTGATTCTCTCTCATCACTGATGTCTCTCTCTCTCTCTCTCTCTCTCTCTAAAAAAAATAAATAAAAATCAGCCGAAACCGGTTTGGCTCAGTGGATAGAGCGTCGGCCTTTGGACTGGAAGGTCTCGGGTTCGATTCCGGTCAAGGGCATGTACCTTGGTTGCGGGCACATCCCCAGTGGGGGGTGTGCAGGAGGCGGCTGGTCGATGATTCTCTCTCATCGACGTTTCTAGCTCTCTATCCCTCTCTCTTCCTCTCTGTGAAATATCAATAAAATATATTGAAAAAAATAGATTTAAAAAAATAAAATAAATAATAATAAAAATCACGCTAGCTAGTGTGGCTCAGTGGATAGATAGAGTGCTGGTCTGTGGTTTTGCTGGAGCGAAGTGACTGATATGCCTTCAGAGGTTGGGGGGGGGAGCCCTAGAGGCTCAGCCCTCCCCCATGGGTCCCTGGGAACCAGGCTCCGCCCCCGGCCCCCCGGGGAAGGGGTGTGAACCCCACATCCGATGCGTGCTCTCCCCACCCAACCCCGCCAGCAGGCACTCCGCTTCCTCCCGTAACTATGCTCGCTCGGGGGGCTGCGAGGCGGCCTGGGGAACCAGATGTTCATGAGGTTTCTCCCCGCTGCTCGCTCTGAGGACGCCGGGGCCCCGGAGGCACACTGGGCTCACGTGGGGGGGAGGGGGCGGGGCCTGCACCTGCCCCGGCGCTGGCAGGGGGGCCCCCCGGGGACACCCCGAAGGCAGCCCAGATGCTGACGGGGCCCTGTGACATATGCTTTCTGAGCCTCGCTGCTCACACCCTCAAGCAGGCCTGCGGGGCTGCTTCTGCGTATGTTAAATCACGTCGCCTAACGCGCTGGGATCCGACGATCTATTTTTTTTTAATTCATTGTTTAAAAATGTATTTTTATTAATTTCAGGGAGGGAGAGAGGGAGAGAGAAACATCCGTGATGAGAGAGAATCACGGACCTGCTGCCTCCTGCACGCCCCCCACTGGGGATCCAGCCTGCCACCCGGGCCTGTGCCCTGAGCGGGAATCGAACCCTGGTTCCTGGGTGGATGTTCAATCACGGAGCCACACCGGCTGGGCCTGCGGTGACCAGCAGGGACACAGGCAGACGGTGTAGCTGCGAGCTGAGCGCCGCCCTGCCTGCGGGCAGACAGACAGCCTGCGCCCCGGGCACACCCGCCCTCACAGGCCCTGGGGCTGCTCCGTGTGGAAACACGGCTTGGCCCCCACCACATGCTTATGCCATATGCTACATAGGGAGGGAGAGACGAGTTTGGCTCGGGTCTGCCGGGCAGCTGTGAGCTCCCTGGGGCTGAGCCAGAGCCGTGAACTTGACCTTAGCAGGTCAGAAGGTCAAAGCCAGCAGATGAGCGAGGCATCCCGACTGTGTGTTTGCAAACACGTAAACCAAACAGCAGCTACCTGTTTGCAAACATGTGACCAAACAGCAGCTACAGCCCTGGCTGGTGTGGCTCAGTGGATAGAGTGTCTGCCTGCGGACCGAAAGGTCCCAGGTTCGATTCCGGACAAGGGCACATGCCCGGGTTTGCGGGCTCGATCCCCAGCAGGGGGCTGCAGGAGGCAGCCGCTCCATGATTCTCTCTCATCACTGATGGTTCTCTTATTCTCGCCCTCTCCCTTCCTCCCTTCCTCTCTGAAATCAATAAAAATCTATTTAAAAAAAACAAAAAACCAGGAGCTACATGTTTACATACAAGTAACCAACCAGCAGCTACATGTTTGCAAACATGTAACCAAACAGCAGGTGCATGTTTACACACAAGCAACAAAACAGCAGCTACAGCCCTGGCTGGTTTGCTCAGCGGATAGAGCATCAGCATGTGGACCGAAAGGTCCCAGGTTCGATTCTGGCCAAGGGCACATGCCTGGGCTGTGGGCGCCATCCCCAGTAGGAGGCGTGCAGAAAGCACCCGGTCCATGATTCTCTCTCATCATGGATGTGTCTATCTCTCCCTCACCTTCCTCTCTGAATAATTTACATCAATAAAAATATATTTTAAAATATATTAAACAAACACAGCAGCTACATGTTTGCAAACAAGTAACAAAACGGGAGCCCGGCCGAGACGGGTTTGGCTCAATGGATAGAGCGTCGGCTTGGGGACTGAAGGGTCCCAGGTTCGATTCCGGCCAAGGGCATGTACCTTGGTTGCGGGCACATCCCCAGTAGGAGGTGTGCAAGAGGCAGCTGATCAATGACTCTTTCTCATCGATGTTTCTAACTCTCTATCCCTCTCACTTCCTCTCTGTACAAAATCAATAAAATATATTTAAAAAAACAAACAAACAAACAAAAAAAAAAACACAGGAGTCCGCTTATGAAACTGCTCAGAAGCCCGGGACGGCCCGGAGCTGGAGGCACAGCGCACGGGCAGGTCTGGGCCGCCATGGTCCGTTCCCGCACCCGGAGGGCACGGCACCCCCTCTCCCTGCCCCCCATCCCCGCCCCCGCGGCCCCGGATGGATGCTCACCTGCAGGTCCAGGGCGGCCAGCTTGCCCTTGTCGCCCCGGCTCCGCGCGTACTCCTCGGCGGCCCAGGGGGGCTGGCCCCGCCGGCCCTCGGCCAGCTCGGCCAGCCGCAGGTCCGTGTACAGGGGGCGGCCCTTGAGGGCCTGGAGCGAGGCGGGGTAGGGGTGCGGGCTGAACACCTGCTCCACGCGGAGGTCCCGGGGCGGCTTGGGCCGGCGGTGCTGCGGGGGGCCGTCGTGCTGCCTGTCCGCCTGCGGGGGGCACAGCGCGGGCGGGTCTCCCGGGGCCGGGCAGCCGCCAGCTTTGCCTCCCTCGGCCCCGGGCACCCCACGGGCATCAGATGGCAGCACGCAGGGACCCCCGCACCAATGGCCCGTGCCAGGGAGATCCGGATTTATCCAAGTCCCGACCTCCCCGCTCTCCACCCCCTCCCCGAGGCCAGGCCAGGGCAGGAGAGGAGCCCAGAGAGGCCCAGACAGCTTCAGGGAACCTTTGCGGAACCCTGACTCACCCAGCCAGGGGCGTGGCCTCACCAAGCAGGGGCGTGGCCCACCAAACAGGAGGTGGGGCCTCAGTGAGCTGGGGGCGGAGCCTCACAAAGCAGGGGGCGTGGCCCCAACACACAGGGGCGTAGCCTCACCAGGGGGGTGGGCCCCACACTGAGCTGGGGGGCTTCACCAAGCAGGGGGCGGGACCTAACTGAGCTTGGGGGCGTGGTCTCACTGAGCTGGGGGCGTGGCCTTACCAAGGGGGCAGCGCCCACACTGAGCTGGGGGTGTGGCCTCATCAAGCTGGGAGCGTGGTCTCTGAGCTGGGGGCCTTACTGAGCTGGGGGCGGGGCCTCAGCAAGCAGTGGGCAGGGCCTCACTGAGCTGGGGGCGGGGCCTCAGCAAGCAGTGGGCAGGGCCTCACCAAGTAGGGGGCGGGACCTAATTGAGTTTGGGGGCGTGGTCTCACTGAGCTGGGGGCGTGGCCTCACCAAGGGGACGGCACCCACACTGAGCTGGGGGTGTGGCCTCATCAAGCTAGGGGCGTGGTCTCTGAGCTGGGGGCCTTACTGAGCTGGGGGCGGGGCCTCAGCAAGCAGTGGGCAGGGCCTCAGCAAGCAGTGGGCAGGGCCTCACTAAGCTGGGGGCGGGGCCTCACCAAGTAGGGGGCGGGACCTAATTGAGTTTGGGGGCGTGGTCTCACTGAGCTGGGGCGTGGCCTCACCAAGGGGGCGGCACCCACACTGAGCTGGGGTGTGGCCTCATCAAGCTGGGGGCGTGGTCTCTGAGCTGGGGGCCTTACTGAGCTGGGGGCGGGGCCTCACCAAGCAGTGGGCAGGGCCTCACTGAGCTGGGGGCGGGGTCTCACCAAGGGGGCGGGGCCTACACGGAGCACCTGCACCTGGCCGAGCCCTGACCCCGTTACCCCGGTTCCCGTTACCTCTTTCGACTTCCGACGCCAACCCTTGCTCTCCCCGGGGCCTCGGCCCCGGACCTCCTCCTCCTCCGCCCCGTCCAGGCTCAGGCGGCTGGCGTAGGTGATGGTGCGCCAGTCCCGGGGCGAGTCGGAGATGCTGGCGATCTTGGACTCGGTGGCGCTGTTCTCCTCCGTCAGCGAGCGGGAGGACGGCCGGGCGAAGAGGCTCCTCTTCAGCGCCCGGACGCGCAGGCTCTCGCTGGTGCTCCCGTCCGAGCAGCACCAGTCGGCGCCCCCGCCGCCCCCGCCGCCGCCGCCATCCGCGTTGGGGCCGCCCCGGGAGCTGCCGTGGCGGCCCGGGAACCCCCGGGGGGAGGCGCTCTCCTCGGACGGGGCCCCGCTGGTCAGGGAGGTCAGGTCCGCCTGGCCCCTGGCCGCCTTCTCGGGCGGCTGCATCTTCCGGTCCAGCTGGTTCAGCTTGCCCAGCACCTGGGAGATCTCAGCGCGGACCCCCGACAGCGACTCCAGCTTGCGCTCGATCTCGCCGATGCGGAGCACCAGCTTGCACACACTGGTCTTCAGCTCCTCCTCGGAGCGCGGGCCGGGCCCCCGCTTGCCCTTTTCTCCTTGGCCGCCAGGGAGCTCGCCGGCCAGCTTGGCGGCGGCGGCGGCTGCTCCTGCATTGCTCCCTCTGCCTCTGCCGCACTCTGGGGAGCTGTCACCGCCGTCCGACCGGGGCCGCTGGGACAGGGACCCCAAGCTGCCGCAGCAGGACGAGTGGATGAACCCTGTGGAGCCGCTGAGGCTCATGTCGTCCAGGAAGCGGAAGATGTCGCTGATGTCGTCGCTGACGATCTCCGAGTCCTCATCCGACGGCCTCGCGGCGGCGGCGGCGTGGGCAGCATGGGCGGGCCTATCCCGGCATGCGGCCTGCAGGTCCTGGTGTGGCCTGGGCTCCGGCGGCGGCGGCTCCGTCTGGGTGCCCACGCTGCTGGTGTCCGAGCTCAGCTGCCCGCCCGTGCTGCCGAGGCTCCTGTCCTTGGCCTTGACCTTGGTCCCGGGCTCCCGCTCCTCGGGGGATGCGATCTCTGGGGCATCGGCCGCGTAGCCCGCAGGGAGCAGGGGCTGCTGCTCGGCCGCGGTCGCAGGTGCGAGGTAGGCCGGGCGCGGGCCCCGGGCAGGGAAGCCGGGGCTGGGGTACCGCGGCAGCCTCTCGCGGGACGGGTTCCTCTCGTGGGACGGGTTTCTCTCGCGGGACAGGCTCTTCTCGCGGGACGGGCTCTTCTCGCGGGACAGACTTTTCTCGCGGGACGGGCTCTTCTCGCGGGACAGGCTTTTCTCGCGGGACGGGCTTTTCTCGCGGGACAGGCTCTTCTCGCGGGACGGGCTCCTGTGGCAGAGGGAACCGTCCATGGCGGGCACATCCGCGTTCAGGCTCCAGCTCTTGGCGGGCCAGGGCGTCGGCTTGCCGGGCCTCCCCCCGGGGCAGCGCCTGGCGTCGGGGCTCCCCGTGGCGGGCGGCGTGGGCCCGAAGTACGTGGAGGCCTGCAGGTCATCGAGGCTCTCGTGCTTGGCCCGCCTCCTGTCGGGGACCGGCGAGTACACGGCGGCGGCGGCCATGGCGCTCAGGTACCGGCCGCCATAGGGCACGTCGAAGCTGTGGTTCAGGAAGGGGGCCTTGGGGGGCTCCTTCCGGCCCGGGGGGCCCCCGTACCCCGCCTCGGCCTCGGGGGACACGGCCAGGAGGCCGTGGAAGTCCTCCTTGAAGATGGTCCTTTTCTGGAGGCAGGACCGCACCCCGAAGGGCTCTTCCTCGGCGGCGGGGACGCCCCCGGGGGGCCCGGGCAGCGAGTCCGGGTCCGAGGCGGGGTCGCCGTCCAGGGTCATGGGGAAGTAGGTCCTCTGCATCTCGCAGGCCTGCGGGCCGGCCAGGGCGTACGGGGCCGGGGCCTCCCGCCCGACGCCCAGCAGGAAGGTGGGCTCGGCGGCGGGTGCGGGTGCGGGCGCGGGCGCGAAGGGCGGGCAGTCGGTGCAGCCCGCCTCCCCGCACGGGCCCGGCTGCCGGGCGGGGAAGGCCTGGCCGAACCCCCGGGCCAGCTCCCCGCAGCCCGGCGGGCAGGAGCCCCGGGCCGCCTCGGGCAGCCGCTCCCGGGCCGCGCCGCCCGTCATCTGGATGAGGTTGAAGATGGTGACGATGTCGGCCGCCACGGTGATCTTCTGGGACTGCTGGCTGTCCCCCGGGCACGCCGCCACCTTGTCCCGGAAGAGGGCGGCGGGGAAGCCGGCGTCCAGGCAGGCCGTGCGGAACAGCAGGCCGCGCAGCCGCGCCAGCTGCGCCAGGTCGAAGCGGGCGCACAGCGAGCGGCACAGGTCCTGGTAGGAGGCCGGGCGCCGCGCGCCGTCCAGCTCCGCCAGCATCTTGGCCAGGAAGAGGGGGGCGTCCGGGCCGGCCTCCATGGCTCCGGGCACCGAGCCTCCCAGCCCGATCTACGGCGACAGCATCGGAAAGCTGGGGGGGTGAGAGAGGGGGAGGAGAGGGTGAGCAACACCTGCAGAGTTTATATATATATATATATATATATATATACATATATATATACATATATATAATATTATTATATATAATGTCTATTGATATATATCATATTATATATTATATGTAATATATTATATATTACACATATTATATATTATGTAATATATATTATATATGTTATATATATTAATGCTATTATATATTATAATATATATTATAATATATATTATATATACATGTATAATATGTATAATATATAATATGTTATATATAATATATATTATATTGTATATTATATATTATATATTAATATATATTACAACATATTATAATATTATATATTATATATAAATATATATCTTATCAATATATATATTATTGATTTTTTTTAATAGAGAGGAAGGGAGAGGGAGAGAGAGCTAGAAACGTGGATGAGAGAGAAACATCGACCAGCTGCCTCCTGCACACCCCCCACTGGGGATGTGCGTGCGGGCAACCAAGGTCCATGGCCCTGATGGGAATCGAATCCAGGACTCTTCAAGGGCCCCCAGTGACTTTTAAAAATATATATATTTACTGATTTTTTTTTTTTTTTACAGAGAGGAAGGGAGAGGGAGAGAGAGCTAGAAACATCCATGAGAGAGAAATATCCACCATCTGCCTCCTGCACACGCCCCCTACTGGGGATGCGCCCGCAACCAAGGTACATACATGCCTTTGACCGGAATCGAACCGGGACCCTTCAGTCCGCAGGCCGACGCTCTATCCACTGAGCCACACCGGTTTGTGGAGTTTTAAGTCACGCTTGTTGTCAACCACATAAAGAAATGCTAGGGACCGGCCGGCGTGGCTCAGTGGCGGAGCATTGACCCATGAACCAGGAGGTCAGGACACAGGCCCGGATTGCGGGCTCCATCCCCAGTGGGGGCTGTGCAGGAGGCAGCCGATCCGTGATTCTCTCTCATCACTGATGTTTCTCTCTCTCTCTGCCTTCCTTCCCGAAATCAATAAAAACATATTTTAAAAAAGGAAAATGGGCCTAAATAGGTGTGGCTCCGTGGATAGAGCGTCGGCCTGTGGACTGAAGGGTCCCGGGTTCGATTCCGGCCAAGGGCATGGACCTTGGTGGCGGGCACATCCCCGGTGGGGGGTGTGCAGGAGGGAGCTGATGGATGTTTCTCTCTCATCGATGTTCCTAACTCTCCTCTCCCTTCCTCTCTGTGAAAAAATCAATAAAAAATATTTTAAAAAAGAAGAAGATGCTAGGGCCCAGCGGGTGTGGCTCAGCGCCTGGGTTTGGGGCTCGGTCCAACCAGCAGGAGGCAGCCAATCCACGATTCCCTCTCATCATGGATGTTTCTATTTCTCTCCCTCCCTCTGAAATCAATAAAAATATTTAAAAGCAAAAATACATGACCTATTGGTTCAGAGGTCGACCTCAACCACTGAGCCACACTGGCTGAACGGACTCTCCATTCTCTCCCTCTGAGCGCGGAGACAGGCCCTGGCCCCCGCGTCTCTCTGTTGGCCAACCCCTCTCTAAGGATGGAGTTTGGGGTGGGGAGGAGGGGGTGTGTGCACAAGCGTGCGGTCCATTCAGCAGGCAGCTCTCTGAGTTAGCTACAGACAAAGCTCCTCGTTCTAAGTCCAAACTCACAGAGCAATTCATTCTATTTCTCTTTTAAAATACATTAGTATTGATCTCAGACAGGAGGGGAGAGGGAAGCATCCACGATGAGAGAGAATCACGGATCAGCTGCCTCCTGCACGCCCCCGCCTGGGGCTACCCTGGCACGTGCCCTCAACTGGAATCGAACCCGGGACCCTTCAGTCCAAAGCCCGATGCTCTATCCACTGAGCAACACCGGCTAGTGCTATTTTATTATTTTTTATTGATCTCAGAGAGGAAGGGGGAGAGAGAGAAACATCCACGAGGAGAGAGAATCACGGGTCGGCTGCCTCCTGCACGCCCCCTACTGGGGATGGAGCCTGTCATCCCAGCTCCTGGTTCACAGGGTCGACGCTCAGCCCCTGAGCCAGGCTGGCCGCCCCACCCCCGTTTTTTTTCCCTTTCATTGGCACCGAGCCTGCCAGTCAGCGCCAACATCTAACCCCTCATGCCCGTGGGGAAGGCCCTCGGGGGGTCAGGTACAGGGTCACAGAGGAGCCTGGGCCCTCGCCCCAGCCACGTGGCTGGAACCAGCGGGAGCAGCCCCTGCCCCCGCCCCCGTGGGCGCACCCCCCTCCCGCCCCCAACCCCTCCCCCCCGCCGGCAGCCCCAGAGCCAGACCGACAACATCCCTTCCTGCACCCCATCTGTCCAGGTTCGGGGAAGGACGTATTTGGGGGGTCCCGGGAGAGAACCCCCCGGACCGGTTGTGTGCTGTGGAGAGGCGGGCGGGCGGGCAGGTGCCTCCCATCCGGGAACATCAATGTTCCCGATTGACTATCGAAGAGTTAATCAACCAAGGCCTTCGGGCTGGGAGTCCCATCAATTCTGCATCTGGCACCAGAGGAGAGAGAGGATGGCCTCACGGATGTAAAACCCAGCCAGGCCGAGGGCTCGGCGACAAAGGACGCTTTGTCTGCCTTCCCGGTGCGAAGGGCCACACGTCACCCCGTCCCAGACTCATCAGAAATGCAAATAAACAGATGGAGCCGCTCTCTCTCTCTCTCTGGCCCTGCCTCTCTCCCTCTCTCCCCTTCCCAAGCGGGCGACTGACATTTGCCATCCCAGGCCCCAGTGCTCCAGAACCTCTCAGACATGCACAGCCTTATTTCTCAGACATTTAGGACTTTTCCTGCAGCCCAGGCGCCTGAGAAAAATCTCTCCGTGTTCCCTTCCCGCGGACCTCCCCCTCCTCCTCCTCCCCCTCCCCCTCCTCCTCCTCCTCCTCCACGTCCCTGGGATAAACAAGAAAGCCAATGACAGGGCATACACCTGTCCTTACCAAACCAGGCGGCCTCCTCCCTCTGACCCCCTTCTCTCTTGCTTTTTTTTCTTAATATATTTTTATTGATGTCAGAGAGGGAGGGAGAGAGAAACATCAATGATGAGAATCATGGGTCGCCTGCCTCCTGCACACCCCCATTTGGGGATGGAGCCTGCAACCCGGGCCTGTGCCCTTGACTGGAATCGAACCCGGGACCCTTCAGTCCAAAGCCGGATGTTCTATCCACTGAGCAACACCGACTAGGGCTGTTTTGTTTTTTACATATATTGTTATTGATGTCAGGAAGGGAGAGGGAGAGAGACATCAGTGATGAGAGAGGATCATGGACCGGCTGCCTCTTGTACGCCCCCCACTGGGGATGGAGCCCACAACCCGGGCATATCCTGACCGGGAATCGAACCCTGGCTTCCTGGTTCACAGGTCGACGCTCAGCCCCTGAGCCACGCCCGCCAACCTAGGCCCCAGGCCCCAGGCACGGCTGGCTTGTCCCCCTGCAGGCCTGGCTCCATCCACCCGGTGGCCTGGCCTCGGACCCACCGTCCGTCTCCGCCCCTCACCCGGGAGAGGGGGGGTGGGCAGCAGCTTGTGTGCTGGAGAAAGGGGTGCCCCGCTGCCCCGTCACCCACCCGCAGAGCCATCAGCCAAGTGGCCAGCACAGGCCCCTCCTGGACGCCACTGGCTCCCTGCTGACCCGCTGAGGTCTTCCTGCAGAACAAGGTCTGGGTTAAACCCCTCAGATGCCACCCGACCCCCCCAGCACCGCACAGAAGCTGGTGAGGGGTGGCTGTGGGGGCTGGGCCGCCCCAGGGGCACGGTGGGCACAGAGGGATGCCCGGGCTGGACAGCAGGGGAGGGCACCCTCGGTGGGCCGGGCTGGCCTGTGGTTCCCGGAGGGTGGCGGTGAGCGTCCTTGGTAGGAACCATGCTCCAGCCCTGGCCGGTGTGGCTCAGTGGATAGAGCGTCGGCCTGCGGACTGAAGGGTCCCGGGTTCGATTCTGATCAAGGGCACAAGTCTGGGTTGTGGGCTCGATCCTCAGTGGGGGACATGCAGGAGGCAGCCGATCCACGATTCTCTCTCATCACTGATGTTTCTCTCTCCCTCCCTCTCCCTTCCTCTCTGAAATCAAAATATATATATATAATTTTTTAAAAGCCGAAACCGGTTTGGCTCAGTGGCTAGAGCGTCAGCCTGCAGACTGAAGGGTCCCGGGTTCAATTCCGGTCAAGGGCATGTACCTTGGTTGCGGGCACATCCCCAGTGGGGGGCAGCTGAGGGATGTTTCTCTCTCATTGAGGTTTCTCTCGATCTCCTTTCTTCTCTGTAAAAAAAATCAATGAAATATATTTTTAAAAAGAAAGGGGGGAAAAAACCACGCTCATTTCATGAGGACGCGACTGGAAATCTTGCCTTGAGGCCTGGGTGGCCCTGGCCGGTGTGGCTCAGTGGATAGAGCTGCGGCCTGCGGACAGAAGGGTCCCGGTTTCGATTCCCAGTCAAGGGCACGTCCCTCGAAGGCAGGTTCCCAGCCCCGGTGAAGGCGCGTGCAGGAGGCAACGCCTCTCTCTCTCTTCGATGTTCCTCTCCCTCTCCCTCCCTCTCCCTGAAACTCAAAGGGAAATCCCCTCGGGGCGAGATTCACACACAAAAGAGAGAGAGGGGGGTGGATCCCTGCCCCTGCCCCTGCCCCCTCCGGGGTCCGTCCACTCTCCCGGCTCCGCGCGCACAGCGGGTCTCCGGAGCCCCCGCCCCCCCCCCCCCCCCCCCCGTCCCCACGCGGGTTTCCAGCCCCGGAGGCGCCCCGCGCTGCGCGCTCCGTTACCCGTTTCTCCCCCCGAACCCCGTCCGTCCCCGGCCTGGCTCAGCCCTGCACCCCAAAGTGGGGAGGGGGCGCTGGCACCCCCCACCCGCCCTCCGGCGCCGAGTTACCTCCCCGCGGCCGCCGCGCCTCCCGCTCCAGCCGCCGCG